TCCACTATTTTTAACTCAGTTTGAAACTTCAAATGCGATATAATTTTGGCTTGGACCATCTAAGCTGACTGACATCAACTTGCTATAATTTCTGTTTACATTACATCGCAATTCGACGACACTCTGGCTCAGACACCAGAATGTTTTGATTCTATGATTTTTAGCATTCGTTTAGGATTTTCAAACAACCTGGTCTCTTTTCAAATACTTTTAATTTGTTCTTACGTGGTTTTCAGATGTAGTGACGACAACATTAAAGTTTAAAGAAGAAAATTCTAACATTTAAACCGACTAAACAATAACATAGTAATTAAACAGCAACTAAAAATGATAGGTTTTACTAAATCTTTTCCTGTGCAATTATTACTAGCATTGGAGACAAGGATAATAGTTTGTTTGAAAGAGAAAAGAACAGGCTTTGACGTAAGCTTAAAAGCGTTTAACTAGAAATAGTATTTCGAAAGTTATTAAGCACAAAAGATGAATTGCGTTTATTTTGATACACCCTGTAGACTAAATTTTGATCTAAACAAGTCTAGACAAAAATTTCATCACAGCTTGAAAGAGCATCACAAAATTAGTAATATTCCAAAGTTTCGTTGCGAAATGTTGTAAAATGCGGATAGTATAGCCTTGCGAAGTTTTCAATTTTCAGTCATTTTAGATTACAAACGGGAAATTGACAGCCCCAAAGTTTGCCGGCCAAAGGCCGCCAAAGGGTATTGGGCTGTCAATTTCCCTCGCGTAATGCAAAATGACTGAAAAATGGCAAACTTCGCAAGGCTATATTATCCGCATTTTACAACATTTCGCAACGAAACTTTGGAATATTACTAATTTTGTGACGCTCTTTCAAGCTGTGATGAAATTTTTGTCTAGACTTGTTTAGATCAAAATTTAGTCTATAATGCAAATGGTCCATTTTTTATAAAATAACTACAGTGAAACAATGACATTTTGAGAATCCCGCGAAGGCATTTTAATTCCTTGTGCAGGATAGCCTGTTCCTGCACGGCTATTGACCAATCAAGTTATTATATAAAGTGTTTTCGCAGTTTTAAGCGTGCCTATACGTGATTTACAAAGCAGAGTAAGGCTCGACTATAGACCATTACATATTTGTGTAATTGTTCTTTTACAATACTATAATCATTGGCAAGAGTCTTCAATGATTATCAGTTAGACATGTAATAATTTTTCTGTGTTGGTGTAATGTACTCGGGTGAAAACGATGCTTGTGATGTTACACTGAGTGTATATCCACACCGGGCAAGCTTGAAAAATATGCCTGACCACGGTGGGAATCGAACCTACGACCTTTGGAATACTAGCCCAATGCTCTGACAACTGAGGTACGCGGTCAGATCGGTTCGAATATGTGATATTTCGGAACAGAATCTAGTTCCTTCGAATCAGTATATATCACATACTCGAACCGATCTGACCGCGTAGCTCAGTTGGCAGAGCATTGGGCTAGTATTCCAAAGGTCGTAGGTTCGATTCCCACCGTGGTCAGGCATATTTTTCAAGCTTGCCCGGTGTGGATATACACTCAGAGTAACATCACAAGCATCAGTTAGACATGTGTTTCACAGAAATATATCTGCCCCTTGTGGGAAATAGCTGAAAATGCAGTTTCTGGCCATGTAATTTTCAAAATATTCTGGAGGTGCATGCCCCCGGACCCCTCTAGGAAGGTTCGCGGTTTACTTCATCTCAACACTAGCCCCCCCCCCCCCAA